TTTTTTTTTTTTTGTCTTTCTTTTTTCCCCATTTTTTTACTTGTATTTTAGTTGTTTTTTTTTTTTTTCCTTTTGTAAGTGTATATGTTGTTGATACTGACGCTGACAGTCCGAAGAGTAATAGCGGGTAACGTTGCGATAATAATGTTGGTGACATTGATGATTGCTGAATTTTGATGCTATAGTGATCTTTAGTTTAGACTTTTTCTAAATGCCAAAGTTGAAGCAAAAAGAACAAAAAAAAAAAAAAAATAACGGAAAGAAGAAGATTGAAAGAGATTTGTTATTCAGCTGTTACTTATTACCGATTAAGCATTTACACGTCTTATCTGTAATTTTAGCGTCTATATTTCGTGTCTAAAGAAAAGACACAAAAAAAAGTATCATGCTTTTTCTTTTTCTATTTTTATTCTTGAACTGCTAAACAACTTTGTGTTAACTCGTAAAAGAAAAGGAAAATCGAAAATCTTAAAAAATTTTTTGTTTCTCTACACTTCTGTAATATCGATGTTGTCCCATCCTCCCCAAAAGAAAGCAAAAAATTGCACAAATTTATGAACCTGTAGTGTTTGTAAATTTTTATGTCTTTTTTTTTTCCTGCAGTCAAACATTTTGCAGAAGGCTGTTGAAAAGTCACATAGAGAGAGGCTAAATAATTGAAAAGTAAATAAAAGAGTATAGCAATTAGTGTTGATAAATAAAGGACGGGGAATTGGTAAACTGAAAAACTATATAAGGTTACTAGGATGGAGGCAAAAGGATGTTGGAGTAAGGAGACAGAAGAAGTTGGAGTAAAGCGTACAAAAGGTAATGAAATGAGGAAGGGGTGGTGAAGTAGAGGAAGAAGAAGCAGAAGGAAAGATAAAGACAATGAAGGAAGAAAAACATTTGACAATTGATTGTCGGTCGACATTCTACAGTAGTCAACGGTGATTTTCAGAATCTGCAAGTTTCAGTCTTTTTTTCTGAGGGCAAGGGGTTTTCTATAGTCAAAACCATTAGAAGCTTTTGCGTTACGAGATTCTTTTTATTTTTCATTTCTGTTACATATATCTTTGTGCTTATTTATTTTTTTGTTATTATTATGGCTTATTACCGTTTTCACAGGCTTTGTTAAATTGTTGTTGTTGTTGTTGTTGGAAATGATCAGATGTTTATTGATCTGAAAAAAATGTGATTATTTTGCCATTTTTTCTTTATTTTTATTTTTTTTTTCGTTCTGTTGCTCATTTCTGTTATGATTCGATAACCAAATAAGAGTTTTTTTTTTTTTTTGTTTAACGTAATCGTCGTGCGTTGCGCGTTTTTTTTCATTTTTTTTAACCGTAACTGTTGAGCTAAATTTGGGATGGAAATTTAAATGTTATGATGTGTATTATTATTTATTTATTTATTTGTATGTTTCAGTGTGATGAGCACTCTGATGTCCATGGGACCAATGTTAGTAATGGATAATAAAAATGGTGGTCCAGTAAAGCTGGAAAGTTTTGATCCACATCACGGTCCACACCATATGCATCCGGGACCACCACCACCGCAGCCACAAACAATGCGTCAAATGCCGCCGACACAACCGGGACATTACAATATGAATCAGACGACAACTTCCAGTGGTCAACCAACAATGATGACTTCATCGATGAACAGATCCCAAAGGTAAATATTGATGGCGGAACTATTAGGAATACACTGTGATTTGGCTATCTATAATGCCTACAGTTTTTAGCATAGTGTTTAGTTTAATAAAGCTTAGAAAAGAGGGCAAAATTTGATCAGTTTATAACAATTATTGCGTCAAAACTAACATTTTTATAGGTTTAATTGTTGCCTAATCAATAAATTAATTTATTTTCTTAAATTAAATTATTGGTTTATTTTTTTTTCTCAGGTTTTTTGTTGCTACTCTGAACTTTTTTATTGGATTATACCACAAGACACAGCATTTGCTGTTGAATTTACTTTTGAATCAGGCCACTGTTACAGGGTCATTGGCAGTCTTGCTAGTGCAGTTGTTAGATTTTGAAGGTTAGCTGATGTATGCAGCAGTAATTAAATGATTGTCTAAGTGAAGGTGAAATAATTTACAGATGTGGTGTATGTAGAGGTTGTCAGTGTAAACCGTGTGGACATTGTCAGTATTGTCAGGACAGTCCTCAGTTTGGAGGTCCAGGTGTCAAGAAACAATCATGCATTGAACGACGTTGTCT